GCCGTTTCTTTTTTGGGCGGGTAGTGGCGACAGTCTTAGCTGTGATAAGCGCTCTTTTTTTCAGACTCTGTCGTGCCAGCCTCTCTGCAGCTTCTTGTTCAATCGCATGCTTCTCGGGTGTATCCGTAAGGACTTTTGTCCTACCTTTCTTCCTTCCTTTTTGCCCTGTCTTACGCGGTGCAGCCTTAGGGTAGGGCCTTAGGTCGCTCGGAACAATCCGGCTGGGAGATGCAGTTGACGTCGAGGCTGCGTTGGCGACAGTAGGTGGGAAGACATCTGTAGAGACGTTGCAAGCTCCATGGCCGTTTGTTTCAAAGTTCAAATCACTTTCCAGTCGGCTTGCGCTGTCCGTTTTCTCGGTGATGGTGGCCGTCTGTCGTGACACTTCTCCGCTTACGGACGTTAAGGGTCTGTCAGTGACTGATGACATCATGTAGTCATCCGAAGTGAAGGGCTCGCTATTGAAAGGCCAAATTCCAGTTTTCTGAAAGCCCGAGATTATGTTCTTTTGTGTCACCGTTAATACGTAGGCGGATCCAACTAGTTGTGCAACATTGTGGATGGAGATGGTCTTCCCAGGGTATTTATGAGCCAATCATTGCAAGCAGCGTTGTACCGAGATTTAAATGGTCCGTACACGGACACATCAAGTGGCTGCAGGCGGTGGCTACAGTGTGGGGGAAAGGTCAGCAGGATGACTCCGCTCTCTTTGGCCTTGTTGATGGTGTTGATGCTCACGTGGCTTTCATGATTGTCGAGTATCAAGAGAATTGGCTCCTCCTTCGAGCACTTCGTATGTCTCGCAGTGTGCTCTAACGCCAGCAAAAACAGTTCGCTCGACATCCAGCCCGACTTGCTTGCCAAACCGAGGCTTCCTGCCGGGGCGCCTTTCAGAAAAAAATCTTTAAACCTCACGCGTGGGAAAATGAACACTGGTGGCAGGGCGTTTCCGATGGCATTGACAGTGCACAAAACAGTCACCAGTTCGCCGCGTTCTGCGGATGTAACCTGACCGATTTGCTTTTCTCCACGTGCTGCTACTACCTTTGGTGGGTTGTGTGCAGTTGTGAAGCCCGTTTCATCACAATTGTAGATGCGGTCCGGAGTTAGCTTGTATCGGTCGTAGACACTTTTCAGGTTTGAAAGGAAAGCATCGACGTTGTTCTTATTGAAGCTTGTTGCCCGACCCAGACTGGTCGCTTCTGGCGATCGAAGCGATAGCTCGGGATGGCGGTCCATAAAGCCCATAAACCAGTCTCTTCCAGCTACCTTCTTCTGTTCCCATGACGCCGGGCACTTCCTCTTTAAGGCTGTTGCAAACTCGTACGCCAGTGAACGAACTTGCATTCTCGTAAGCCCATAATGCATTTTGCTTGCTTTCAGCAAATATTCTTTCAAGAGTACTTCATCTTCTGTTGTGAAGACTATTCCGCAGACCAAATTGGACTTAAACATGATGCCACCTGTGTCACCGCATTCTCTGTACTTCTTCACTGCTCGGCCAAGCGATGATTTTGATATTTCAAAAGCTTCTGCTACGTCTCTTATACTTTTCTTTTCATCGCACACCAATCTCACAGCATCCAGGATCAAATTGTTCGATGTTTGAGCTCTGTCAAGATGCTTCCTCTTGTAAACCCGTGGCATCTTCCTGAAAATGGAAATGGATCAAAAATTGGCAAATTTAAATATTCACGCACACCAAGCACGCTTAACGTCCTTGCATGCACATAGCAGCACTCATATTGCTGCCTATTATTCACGTGCTTATTCCGGGTTTCTCGCAAATGTGTACAGTAATCACACCTTTTTAGTGGAGAAACATTGCATTTTATGATGCCCCGTTGGTTTAGCGCGTCTTAACGTCAAGTGTCGCAGAAGCAGCCTGTATGTTATTTAACATCACGGCACCAAGCATTTGTACACTTTAAATGAAAAATAAAAAAATAACTGCTTTCGGATCTAAAGCGGCGCAGCATTGTAGCTTATTCGCTAGACACAGCACCAGCCGTATGGTGGGGAGGAATGGGACACTGTCCCATTCCACCCGCGACTCAAATGTCCCATTCCTCCCCAGGTGGTTCGCCCAACAAAAAATACATTCAATGGCGAAAATTCTCTTGTTAGGACTAAACTTGTTATTGCATGAAGCACGACCCTAACGCGTGTTTTCGAAGAAAAATTGGTATCAGCATAGGCAGGGTGGTTTAAAACTGAGAGAGGTGTGATTGAGTAAGCGGATACTTACTTTTGACACGTGAAAAACGAGAGTTGTAGTCAGAGAAAGGTCCGTCCGGTGAAGACGGCCACCATTACAGCCAGGCTATCGGTATGCTAGCGCCACCTCGTGAGCAGCCGATGAACGTGTTTGAACTAACTCCTGGAGAGATAAACGAGCTGTCCCATTCCTCCAACCGTCCCAAACCTCCCGACTCTCCCCTATAGACCGTTCCATTAAGGTCATAGCAGAGAGGGTAAAAGAGAAAAAAAATGCACTCCCCCTCTCCCCCGAAAGCTGTTCGCTCCGCCGAGTGGGCTGTAGCTAGCGGCCGGCTGGCGTGCAAACTCTGTTTAAAATCGCGTCATTTTGGAACTTTCAAGCGCAGATGCGCAGATTTTGGTATGCCAGTTATCGTATAATACTATGCTAGATAAAAAGACTCACAGGGTCCAATTGCACTGTTACCTGCGTGCAAATAAAAAACAAAAATAGGGAAAACTGTGTCAGATTGGCCGGTCTCTTTGGCGAAAAGAAAATCCGGTTGCTGTACCTTTTTTACTATACAAAAGTTCGTACTGGTGTAGGCCTTTAGCGACCATGAGTGGAGGTCTGAAATAATAAATAAAAACGTGCTCTCCTGCAGCAATACACGCAGTAGTTGAGGGTAGTACTGCCGGCTGACTCAACTGCTATTTAAGTAACGAAAAAAAGATATGCTGGTTTATCATTTAGCAAAATAGAACAACAGAGAGCTATAGGCTGATTTTGGAGTAGCCACAACTATTCTAAGAACGCGAACCACTTCACAACGGCAGCCCCGAGCGAGAGTTCGGTGTTCGGTAGAGCCCGCCGATACAGCCCAAAGATGGAGAACGGCAACCTCCCGGTTTGTCGTCTGCTAGCGGAGGCGGCGGCGTGCCCTCTCTCTCGTTTTACCCCGCCGAACGCGCTGAACTTCCCGGATGTGTGGAGAGGGCGCTGTGGTCGAACAAAATGGTGCCTCCCAGAGAGCGCTAAATGGAATGGTCTATTAGCGGCGAGATGTTCTGGGGGCGCCCTCCTATGGTTCCCTCTCGTGACGTCATCTTGCGAACAACAGTTTTGATGGTGTTCGTAATTAGCATGGTGGAAGCCTGATATCACTGCATTCTAAAACCAACACTGCCAACACCGCCAAAATTGAACTTCTTCCATTACTCCGCCAATGAGAAACCCTTTTGTGACATCACAGTCAGCATTAGGCCAATCGTGGAAGGCCGACCACAGCGACGCTTCCAATTGCGCACGTCGCCAATAGAGCGTGTGCTGAGAATGAGCTCATATTAATAGGCTGCAAAGACTAGCGATCTTGACGGTGTAGAATACACATTGCCCAAAGAACTGTGGATCGCCATCAGCACGCGCTCAGCAGTTGCGCACATAGCTATGTAGGACGTGGAGGTATTACAAAATGTATGCATTGCTCGATCAGAAACACTGCAAGCACTGAAGTTGTCTGAGACACATCATAGTAAGGCCTGTGCTGTTGAAAAAAAATCATGTTGAATTCGGAGGTCGTATGTCCCAAACCAACTAAGGGCACCCGGCATGCCCCAACAAAGGAATCTTTTTTTTTTTTTTTGCTGCTATTTGTTTTTGTTGTTTTTTACTATCTTCTTTTATATGCACACCGGATCACCCCAGGCTAAAAGAAAAAATTAATCTACAGGGTGTTCCTGAAAAAAATTTACAGGGTTTTCTTCACCGCCAAAATAAACTGTGCATCGCCGAACGCTCGTTCTCTGCCCAAAGGTAGCGCTAGAAGTCCAATCCAGGTGCCATCATTTTCATCGCGAACCAATATTTCATTCAAAAGTTGCAAGTGCTTTTCTGAAAACTTCAATGGGAAAATGGCAGTTGACTTAGCTCTCGAATACATGGAGCTGAATGGCGCTAGAAACCGAAAACTGGTAAAACCGGGCCCCATTTAAAGTTTCAGAAAATCACTTATAACTTTTGAATAAGATATTGGTTTGTGCTGAAGCTTTGGCATCTGGTTCGGACCTCTAGCGCTACCCTTGGGCACAGGATGAGCGTTCAGCGATGGGTAGTTTATTTTTGCAGTGGAAAAAACCCTGAAAGCTTTTGGGGAGACACCTTGTACTCCGAAGAAACATATTTCATTAAAATATTGACCCGGAACGCATATGTCTCAATGAACTCGCTGCCGAACAAGGGCCTTTCCTCAAGGAGGAACCATGGCTGGCATGCTCTCTTCAGAGATGTGTAACTTGGACAGTAGCGACAACTGTCCTTTTGTCACATAATCACGACGGACCAACGGACCAACGGCCGTATGACATCTCGGGGGGTTCTAAAACAGCTATTGGAGGCAGCTTTTTCTCTTGTATGTTTTGCTGCTTCAACGCTTAACATCCCTTCCCTGTGTTCAATCTCTGGCAATTGACCGACTTAAGAGGATTAGACTGTCCGTACGAGGAAACCATAGGGAGTTAATAAGAGAAAGCTATTGCGGTGTCATCCAAGGGTATTCGAGAACACCTACCTAAATACACGACAACACTAGTGCCACGCTTAGGGATTGCCGATGAGCAGGACAATGACACCATAGGATTGTGAGCCTGCTGGATGTACTTTGTGCAAAAACTAGCACGTACAAAAAAAAAAAAAAGAATCTTCCCTGTGGTTCCATGCTTTGAAAACAAAAAAAGACTGTTCTGTGAACTTCCGAAAACTTGCTCGCAAAAGTGACGGGACAGTTTTGCCATCCCTTTAACAGCGGTGTACTACGGGAGGATTCCTGCGGAAGAGATTGCTAAGGGTGGACCCATCGACACGACTAAGTACCCTGGGAGCCTCGGCCTGACGCTGGAGTTGTGTGCAGGCATCGTCGACAAGAGTTCCATGAGCCGTGAAGAGACCATGCAGCAGGAGATCCTCGAAGAGTGCGGCTACAACGTACCCCTCTCCGGCATACACAAAGTCACATCCTTCAGGTGAGTTGACCTACAATGCTCTTTATTTCTTTATTTAGTTATTTATTCCCTCAAGGCCTAAAAGCACTGCAAAAAAGCCCTATTTAAAGAAAAAAAAAAATACATATGCATTTTTTTTAGCCCATGTCCCATAATACCATGTGAAAAATGCATATGACATTGTATGCAGTTTTCTCGACGAAGAATGCACAGGTCGATTGGGTGTTTTTTCCATGGTGGTCTACCTTACATTCCTTGTCCAATGGCACATAAATGGCATTGTTTTCTTCCACCTTTCTCTAATAATCTTCCAATCATTTTAAATTAAATAGATGGGGTATAGAGCACCGGCAACTTTTTGTGTTTCATACCTATACCGTGTCTATAACATAAAAAGGTTGTCTCCAGCCATTTTAAAATTTTTAAGTCCGCTGATAAAACTACCTGATTTTCAGGTTTTTCTTTATATGGGTCTTCCGTACGGTTATATGGGATATATTGATTGTATGGGTGCATATGGTTTTTATTCAATAGGGAGAGGAGGCTAGAACCACGAAGTAACATACAAAGAAACAGGAATTAGGCAGGGAAACACGTAAAAAAAGGAAACGTGGTTAATCCAAACACAAGGCAGATTATGTAGGGTTCTCGTCCGATTCCCCGGGCCCCTGTCTCCGGATGAACGTGACACAGCAAACGCATAGCTCTCGGCAGAAGGGGTTTATTCCACTCACGTTCTGCTGGGGGGTTTCGGGATCGGGAGAAGTGATCGAGGAGGCCTGGAAGAGGTGCGCCGCCACTGTATGCTGCATGCCGATCGTCCGTGCGGTGCTAGTCCACACCGCATCCCATGGACGTCGCCGTCGAGGGTCAAATCCGGGGTCTAAGTCCGGACCATGTCACTGGGCCGTCGCCCGAGCCGGCGGCGCGGTCGCCACCAGCGCGAACGTCCGTCGTGGCCCGTTTCCCGCGCAAGAGTCCTCTTTCCCCATCTCCCGTCGTCCGTCGTCCCAGCTTCCCCCGTTCCCGCCGTCGCCGCGCACCAGACCGGCGGGGGCCTCTTGTTTCCCATCGTGGGCGGTCTCTCGCTGGAGCTCCCCGTCCGGCTCCGCCGCGGCACGAGCAGGGCCTCGGGCGCCGACGCTGTCCGGGAGGGGGTCCTATGATGTCCACCGCCGACACCGCCAATGTCTTCCAGATGGGTCCCGAGGGACGAGGCGCTCGGGAACCAAACCTCAAAGGCGCCGTCCTTGCCACGGAGGGGACCGAAAACGAGTCTCCAGGCGCCGGCGTCCGGTTGTCGACCAGAAGGGGGCTGACGGGACCCCACACCATCCCCCCCTCAAACCATAACCCGGGGGTCATGAAGGTCAGAAGTTGAGGTGGCGCAGATGACCCAAATACCGCACGGGAGCTCAGCTGAGTCTCGCCGATAATGATGACCGCCCTCGATGATCGCGGCGAGGGTGCCAAACGAGGCAAGCCCACGGGGAGCGTTCATTCGCCGAGAAGCTCGACCAGGTAGCGCACAGTCCAGAAGGGGGCACAGAGCACCACCACTCACAGCGCGCACCGGCACTAAGTCGCACACAATACAGCAAAATTGAAAGTCGCTTCCACCCCAGTGTTCGAGACAGAAAAACAAACGCTAACAAATAGCGGCACTGAATATCGTACAGCGTGACAAAACCAAATCTTCAGCTCAGTGTGCATGCCACAAGATACAAACGAAGCTCTTCGTTCTAAAACTATTAAGCATACACTCATCAAGGTCGTCACGCTACATGTTCAAAAGATGTACCCAAAAATAAGACTAATCATCAAGTCAGAAAGCATGCAACAACACTAAACTATTATCGAAATGTTTAGTTATTATACAACCATTGTTCTTATACAAAACAACCCAATAGCTTTCTACTTAAATGTTACATAATCTAAGAGCGCTAGAGAATCACTTCTCCGACAACAGAATTCACTTTCCACACAACTAAGATCACTTGTGATGAAAACACAAAACATCAACACAAAAGATAATCGTCTGCACGTCACAAGCAGCTACAAATACTACACCGTTCGAAAGGTGCGATACACAATAACCATACGAACAAAACCTGCCGCTAGCAGTATCAATTAACATTACGCACATTCACGCCGACATCCTTCGCGACTCCTACGCCACAAGCAAGCCACGACTATGCTACCCGGCGTGCTGGATGGATAACCACCACCCCGAGAGGCCCGTGTCCCGCGGTACCGGCCATTGAGACCAGCACAAGGGGACAACGTTTTGATATGCCGGATGATGCGCCCAGCAAGTCTGTTGGACGTCCTTTTTTACAAGGCCCTGTCCGCAACGTCTGGCCGTGTACCAGAGGTTGCCGCGTCACTGTTCGGGGATAATCTCCAAACAAGAGCGACAAGCGTGCAACGGGGGTGCACACAAAAGTGTGGTGGAGCAACCACTGTGAGTCCTGGCCCTGCACAAGCTCGAAAGTTGAGATCAACGCATTGGCGTACATTCAAATTCTTGCCCGGCCAAGCCACAACACCGCATGACTGAAAAGTCTTCTTGCGACTGTCAAGGTCGGCCAGGATCGAGCAATGGAGGTACCTCATCTACGTGTCTCGCAACTCTTCTATTCTCAATCCAAGCAACGAGTCCTTGGATGAACGCAGCAGGGTAGGCACAAAGCCCGCCCCAGACCAAGTCAAAGCACCGCATAACTCAAAAGTCTTCTTGCGACTGAAAAGACTGGCCAGGTTCGAACAATGTGAGCACCCCGCACGCGCCTTTTCTCTTCCGCGCTACAAGCGCGACACCAAAGTGTCATAAAATCTAAACGGCCGATCTTGGAAATGGACGAGTTAATAAACTATGTTTGCTTCGCATAAAGCGTTTCCGCAGCGTCGAATTGTTTACCGCATTTACCGCTGGCTTCCAACACCCGCTGGTCATTCATGCAAAAGCTGCAGTTTGTACAGCGACGGGCTGACCTAACGCACAACAGTTATAAGCCGCCGACGGCCATGCCGCTGCCATAATTTCTAGGCTTCCCGGGCACCCGCCGACGTGAACCGTACGTTTTTACGGGCCTCCCGCGCAGCTGTACAGGATAAAACTATCAACAACTCGTCTTATTATCGCAAAACCGCCACCTCCTCCGTGAGGCTCTTCACTACACGAGAACGGCTCTTTCCCCACCTAACCGTCTTTCCCTCTTTTACTCTAACCCGTTATCCCTCCGCACGCCCTCGCGTCCCAAAGCGTTTCAAACACGGCGGAGAACCAGTACCATGCCCAGCGGCAACGCAGGGCACGCACTTTTCCGCCCCCTCTCCGGGCATGGGGACAACAACTCGAGAGCAATCTCCGCCCGAAGCGCAAACTCCGATATGGCGGTGTGAGGGTCCGGCAAAAACTGCCCGCAATTAAGCGGGATCACCCCCATGACTCTTCAGCCAGGGACGAACAGAACTTAACAATCGCGTCAACCTGGACCCCACGGATCATTACACACAGCCACTGATAAGGTGGGCACGGAAACTCGGTGGCTTTCGGAATTCTGATGCATTCACACCAGGCATCGCGTATCCGGCAACACTTGGGGGGATTAGTCCCAAGGTATCACCTCTGGCCGCAAGGTACTGCATCAGTGCGGTCGAAGCCACAAGAGCACATATTGTACCCAAACGCTGTGGACGCACGGTACTCAAAACCGCGCCGACAGCTCAAACAAGGCCAGCTGGGAGCGAGCGTGCAGTAAAACTAGAACGCTAGGCTCCCCTCGGACAAAATGCAGTTCGGGAATAATTTCTCGCTGCAGTCCGTGCAACCGCCGTCTGCAATGGAAGTGATATTAAGATACTCCCACAGCAAACCCTCTCTGACGCGAGCGATCGAAAACAGTCAATCCAAGGCACTGCAACGACACGCGAACAAAGGCGGCTGCGCGCGTCCCATCGCCTAATAAATGAGCTGACATCTCACCCATCGGACGTGGACGGCCGGAGGCGTAGTTGGGGCGACAGAACACCCGACACTGCAGGCCTCAAAGAAGGCGGGAATATCCACGCAACCTGAACACTTGCTCGGCATCAAGAAGCTGAAGGATAGACCTGCCAGCATCCGACGGCACAGCTAAACAGTAGATTAAGGCGCTCCTCGCCACAGGGGATAAACTCCTGGTTGATTGGGACAAAGGATTGTCAGCAAAGACAACGTCTATGTCCGCGCTTCCTCATCAAGCAAACGATCATGTCGGATCTCGTGCGGCGTTGCTACAACGAGGATCGCCCCCAAAAGGAGTGCGGAAGCAATGCCCCCATCCAACCGGAAACAGGCCAGGAATCGGAACTCTAGCCTGAATGTAATTCAGGCCCCACGTTGGGCGCCAATTATGTAGGGTTCTCGTCCGATTCCCCGGGCCCCTGTCTCCGGATGAACGTGACACAGCAAACGCATAGCTCTCGGCAGAAGGGGTTTATTCCACTCACGTTCTGCTGGGGGGTTTCGGGATCGGGAGAAGTGATCGAGGAGGCCTGGAAGAGGTGCGCCGCCACTGTATGCTGCATGCCGATCGTCCGTGCGGTGCTAGTCCACACCGCATCCCATGGACGTCGCCGTCGAGGGTCAAATCCGGGGTCTAAGTCCGGACCATGTCACTGGGCCGTCGCCCGAGCCGGCGGCGCGGTCGCCACCAGCGCGAACGTCCGTCGTGGCCCGTTTCCCGCGCAAGAGTCCTCTTTCCCCATCTCCCGTCGTCCGTCGTCCCAGCTTCCCCCGTTCCCGCCGTCGCCGCGCACCAGACCGGCGGGGGCCTCTTGTTTCCCATCGTGGGCGGTCTCTCGCTGGAGCTCCCCGTCCGGCTCCGCCGCGGCACGAGCAGGGCCTCGGGCGCCGACGCTGTCCGGGAGGGGGTCCTATGATGTCCACCGCCGACACCGCCAATGTCTTCCAGATGGGTCCCGAGGGACGAGGCGCTCGGGAACCAAACCTCAAAGGCGCCGTCCTTGCCACGGAGGGGACCGAAAACGAGTCTCCAGGCGCCGGCGTCCGGTTGTCGACCAGAAGGGGGCTGACGGGACCCCACACATTGTATGCAGTTTTCTCGACGAAGAATGCACAGGTCGATTGGGTGTTTTTTCCATGGTGGTCTACCTTACATTCCTTGTCCAATGGCACATAAATGGCATTGTTTTCTTCCACCTTTCTCTAATAATCTTCCAATCATTTTAAATTAAATAGATGGGGTATAGAGCACCGGCAACTTTTTGTGTTTCATATCTATACCGTGTCTATAACATAAAAAGGTTGTCTCCAGCCATTTTAAAATTTTTAAGTCCGCTGATAAAACTACCTGATTTTCAGGTTTTTCTTTATATGGGTCTTCCGTACGGTTATATGGGATATATTGATCGTATGGGTGCATATGGTTTTTATTCAATAGGGAGAGGAGGCTAGAACCACGAAGTAACATACAAAGAAACAGGAATTAGGCAGGGAAACACGTAAAAAAAGGAAACGTGGTTAATCCAAACACAAGGCAGAATCAGAAATAGCATCATTAAATTCAGCTCTCTCGGTGATGCTTACGATAAGTGCGGAAAGGCGATTCCAATCCCGGCGACGTCATGGGTGGGCAAGATTGATGAAAATGTGGTGACTGATGGTGGAGGAGGCCTACTACTTCATTTTGATGATTGACCCTCGAATGGCATGCTGGAGGCATTCTGATGTCTGCCAAAGAATGCCGACGGGTCTCTCTTGGTGGCAAATAAGAAGTAGGCTTTAATTGAGGGTAGTTGTTACGGTTAGAACTGTGTGCGTGCGTTTTGCCGAAACCTACTTGACGGGTGGCACTCAGTTGTTCGAATGACGCTTTAGCAAACGCCAACTTTTTATCGAAAGATACTTTTGCGAATAGTCGGCCGCCACGAAGCGGCGTTTATGGGCAGCCAAGTAGGTTAACATTTTTGTAATGAGCTGAGTGGTGTGTGTGTGCAAAGAGGAGGGAGGGAGGGAGGGAGGGAGGGAGGGAGGGAGGGAGGGAGGGAGGTGGTTGGGGGGGGATGGGGGGTTGGGGGGGGGGGGGGCAGGGGGTTAACATGTGACCCCGCTACTCGCTAAAACGTCAATTTGCCGATATGGCGCTGTTTGCTAAGACGTTGTTTGCTCATGTGGTATGGGCTCCTACTTGACAGTGTGCTCCTGCAAGTTACCAAATGAGAATAAGCTCGTCCCTTTGACAAGCGCCTTTTTGTATAAGTGCATGTTGGCCGAGCAAGCAAAAGAACCCGCAAAAGCCACAAATGCCCGCAAAAAAGAAATAGTCACATCTCGTTAATACAGACATCTCCGTTCCTCCCAAAAATCGTCCGCTAGTTGTCCATAATAACGAGATGAAAATATGTGTATTTGTCCAGTTCGTTCTCGAAATGTTTGCCCATATTATTAGTGGGGTGTCCATAGTAAGGGGGTCCATATTAACGAGACGTGATTGTACACCAGTGCTCTGCCGCCTGGGCGCACATGCAGCAGAGTTTTCTTTCAGAGCCGCCATCTTGTGCTGGTAATTTTTGATGGCATGTCGAACGGAATGCAGGCGAATCGGTGTTTTGTACGACAATGAATGCATTAAAATATAAGATATCTTTAGAGTTCTTGGCAGAGAGCTCTTGAAGTCTGGAAACTCCTGCTTTTTGGCCCATATTACTGTAAGAGTCCTACGAAAGACCGTAGCACATGTTTTAGTGCTTGAGTGGAATCAACCGCGTTGCAGCCGGCTTATATAATATAAAGTTCAATGTTTTTGAATAAATTTGAAAAAGAAATCCAAGAAATTTTTTGCCAGTAAATTTTCTGTCAATTAAAATTTATCCAAAGGACTCCGAATTTTGAGATCACAAGGATAAAAATAAAAAGCACAGAGTCAGTGGTCCTGAGGAGATGCCACTTCAGTTTCCTTTGAAATCTCCAACTAGCTACAAAAGGGCTGTGGCTTTTAACTCATCAAGGCTCCATCAGGACGGGTCATAACATCCAAACTATATTTTTTTAGTTTTTAAAAATAGGGAATGCAGTAAAATAAACTCAGAATTTCAGAGCAAGGATAAACTCCAATAAACCCCAAATTTTGAGCGAAAAGTAAATTCCTAAGAACACTTTTCGAATTTGATGAGAAATGAACTCCTAAAACACCATTTCTCATAAATAGTGCATGGGCTTGGCCTCGCAAATGCCACGAGACCTTTGATCTATACACAAGTCAAAATTGTTTCCAGGGGTACCTGATCACAGATCTTTTTTATTATTTATTGATACTACTGGTCCTTGTTCAGGACAGTTGTAGGAATGGTGCATAAATACAAATGCACAAACAAATACAAGTTCAAAATGGCAAACAATATAAATTGCACTAATAAAACATGTCAAATGTACGGAAGAAACGTATGGGGGGAAAAAAAGCAAATACAAACAATAAGATACAGTGAAATAAATTTAGTATTCACTCAACGTTGAGGTGTTTTTTTACATAGTTTAGGAATGATGTTAAAGATTTGGAATTTACTATATCAGTGGCTAGGTTATTTTAGTTTTTGAAGGTGCGAAGAAAAAATGAATACTGGAATACATTATTACCTGGCAATACTACAATATAATACTTATGTTGGCTGTGTGTATTGTTACAATCAGAAAATGATATGTACTTCTTCCGATTGATGTTGATCATGCCGTGAATTATCTAATACAGCAATTTACGTCTGTTAAGAGTATTTCCGGTATTAAGGGTTGGTAGGTGTGCTTTATCAAGAAACTCGGTAACTGAAGCTAACCTATTAAATTGCCTGAAAATAAATCTAACTGCTTTTCTTTGTACGATTTCTAGCCTATTGATCATTGTTTTGGTATACGGACCCCAAATCACACTTGAGTATTCCAGGATAGGGAGCACAAAAGTTTTGTATGCTAGTAATTTAGTACCAGGATAGCACCGATTTGCCAATGCTTTCTCTCGCTTTAAAAGGTTAAATGCAAATAAGTGGAGACACTATTCGCTACACCCTCCCATGCTTTTCCCGGCAGAGCCGGAGTTGGCGTTCTCGGAGCGAGGCAAGACCTCTTCTTTGCGGAAGTCACAGACGACATGAGGCAGACTGCGGGCGGAGGCTGCGACGCCGAGGGAGAAATGATCAACGTTGTTGAACTGACCCTACCGGAAGCGCGGAAGATGCTCACGGACGAGACAATAATGCGACCGTCGGCCCTCCTCTTCGGCGTAACCTGGTTTCTAGAGATGAGACCAAAGCTCAAAGCCTGAGCCTCCGTTTACGTGACTAGAGCCACTAAATACACTACGCTTTAGGTAATTGGTGACCATGATTTTAAGCAACAAAATGGATGAAGTGTCGTTACTCTGAAGCGTAGCTTATTTAGTAGCTCTATACCAGGGGTGGCCAGGCTGACTGGCTTAGGAGCTGCAAACAAAAGCACGAAACTTCCATGAGCCGCAAGCCCGGGGGGGTGCAAACTTTTGTCCAGAGCAATAAACGGAACTCAAACTACTTTCAATCCATTCAAGTCTAAAGCAGTCCAACTGTATGTAAGGTAGCAGTAGCACAAGACTACCAAACCGCAACCTGTCTTTCAATTTAAAACCCGTTCCATTTCTCTTTTTGGAAATGTGCTCGTGTGACCAAAAGGGAGGCGGGGGGGCAGGGGAGTGAGCCGCAAGCCGCACTTTAACACGCGAAGAGCCGCAGCTTGGCCACCCCTGCTCTATACATTACTACTTAAGCTGGTCATACCATTTGCCTTTAGACAAGTCATAGAAGGTTTTTGCAATTCTTATGCTGTGTATTTTCTGCCACCACAGTCTTACATTTTTGTTGGAGATGGGAACACGTTTCCAACTGCATCAAGCTTGCTGCAGCTATTAGTCTGTTTAAGACTTATTGATGCTTGTTGTTCCAAAACAGTTTTTGCAGGTCCTGACTCGGATGATAACCTATGCGTATCAGCGACCGAATGACCAGTACAAAGAGGATGTGTCATGGTGATAATGCTGTCATCATGAGTGAATAGTTCTTGGGATAGATGGATTTTTTTTTTTTAGAGGTAAACTATTGTTTACTGATGATGTAGGCCCGTTTTTGATGCTGCCTTCGATACTGATAATAAGGTATATTTGTATGACTTCTGGCAGTGTTGATTGTGTGTAGGGCACAGTGATCACCAGTATTGATGTCCATTCCTCTCCCTTCTAAACTACATTTCCAGGTGTGTTTTTTTCCTGCACTGAATTTAATTGTTTGCATGAAGACATTTGGAGAAGAACTGACAGCTTTTATTTTTGGAAGTCTTATGTGGACAACATTCTGCAGCTATGCAGTCAAAGCTATGGGCGTATGTGCGCTTAAAAGCACTTTGAATTCTCTCAAAGCTGTACATGCGCACTCTTCACGTCTTTTGAAATAGCTGCCCGAGATTATAGTCTGGTAACTGTGGTGATGCGTATTAGAGCCACCATGTTCTGTTATCCAGTCCTTTGGACAAATGAGGATATGGATCTTCTTTTCTATACCTATGACAGTTTACTGGAGTGTTACACTTGGGAGGAGGGTTGCTGAGCTGTGGCTGATTCTCCAGCTCCGTGATTAGCTATGCAGGGTTTAACTTCAATAGGTCCTCGTGTAGAGGAATGCAAGTTGCTGGAATTTTCTCCCGAACAGCCAGAAGCGAGTAAGCCAAATTCAAGGATGTTCCAGAGATTCCCCAGGAAAGTTGCATCTGTGCCCATCATGAATCATCTTCAATTCTGATGTTTGTACAAAAATAGCTTCCGGTCCTTGTAGGAGCAAAAAGCTATTCTCTTGGTGGCAATCACCATGAGAAAAATGGTGAAGAATTTGAATGTAATTCATTTTTCCAAATGCCTTGCAAACCAATAAAGAATCAATACCATAAAGTTACTCGAAGTTTGAAACTTTTTGAATTTCGCTGTGGAGCTCTGCGCAATAAATCACCCAGAGTACCTTCTCAAGTGGCAAGCTTCGTTATGAATGTGGAAGTCCAGTAATAACTGCTAAAAGTTTGGTAAAAAAGAAAGAAAAGAAAAAGCTTTATTTTTGGGGGGGACATCGGCTTACGACCAGTGTTTTACCCAACCTTGTGTTCTCCAACAGATGTTCTGGAGAGCCTGTGTGTGTAAGCATGTCCTTCTTGGAAAAGTTTGGCTGCATCATCCATGTTAGAGGTGCGCAATCTTTTCAGACCCGGATGTCGTAAAGGCTGTAGCGCGTTCGCTCTGTGACTGTGCGTGGTGTTGGAACAGTTGCGCCGCACGCCCAGCGAGTGTGAGGCTAGGCGAAGTTCGTTATTTTCTTTTTTCTTTCAAGGTTGTCCATTATGACGAGACGAAAGGATTTCATGAATGACCGATTGTGTTCGTGACAGTTTTTGTATGGTACAAGCTTTGTGAACAAATTTAGGTAGACATTTTCATGGTGTGCACTGTATGAAATGTGTACGTTCCCTTCAGCACCGGGCCTGGACTATTGAAGAAGTTTCTTTTCCAACCGAAATTTGTTTTCGCCGACTACCCGTGAATAGACCCGTTGCTCTCGGGCAGGGGGCGCGAGCGCGTCCTCAAGACGCGACCATGTTATGCTGGCAGCACCATCCAGGCGGCGCTATAACGTTCAATTTTGCACGTGCGACGTTCGAATGCGAGCATCTGTCAGCATCTGTAGACGCGCGATAACAAAACCCCTAAAAAAAAAAAAAGAATTATGCAGCTCGCGGACTCAGCGTTCCGTTCAGCTTTATTATATTATTGCATTCTTTCATGGCTTCCGTGAGTTTGTATATTTTATTTTACGTGATAGTGAAGCTGAAGCTACTTGCAAAAACATGTTCCGCTGAACGATGCTCGCATTGCACGAGCGCACGTGCTTCCTTTGAAGGGACACTGCAAGCTCAGCCCTCGCTCTTGTAGCGTCTGTTACAGTGCAGCACTTAGAATGGAGCGGAGTATAAAAAACTGTAGTGGGGAAGCGTGATGACGCACGTTCGAAACGCGAGCCAAATATTCTATTTTGCTCGCCTGGAGCGCTGCTCAAAACTTGAGAGTAGAGTAACTGTATAGACCGACACGCGGGCTTGACGTCACGGAGCTGCGGCGGCGCTGCGATCGCGCCGGAGCCGGGGGGTGTGGGCAAAAGCGCGCACGTTTCGCATGGGCCTCATAGCATTTCAGCATGCCACGAAGCTGTGTTGCCGTTAATTGCACAGAAATTTACAAGAAAAGCAGCGGAGTAAGTTTCCTCAAGTTCCCAGCAGACTCTGAAATGCATAGAACTTGGATAATATCCGTGGATCGAAAAGAATGGTCGCTTCACGCGGACGACCGTTTGTGGGGCAAACACTTTCTTGAAGGCAAGTGTGGCTTCCATTTCAATCTCCGTCCCGAGGCTTGCTTATGTGCAGGGAAACCGTTGTCTGATCTAGACCACCCGGATGTTGTTCCCATGGTGCTCGCGCACAAAGCACCGGCCAAGCGCTCGTCCGAGGCTCGCTACGCCCGGGCGTGCTACCCAGCAGAAGGGGATCAACGACGGAACGGCAGTGTTGTAGGCGTTACCGAAAAAAAGTAACGAAATACGTTACTTGCAAATAAAAGGTACGCGTTTCTGAGCTACGTTATCTAAGAATAAAAGGAACGCGTTGCCGCTACCGATAAAAAGTAACGCACGCTACTTCTGCGTTACTTTTTTTAAGTTACAATTTAACACATTTTACGGTTCTGACGATACAGGTCATGTATCAAGAAACATTATGTTCATGCAGAAACTGAACATAATTACTTTATTTCTTTTTACGGTTTCACCTAAATACTTACGAGAAAAAAACGCAAAGAAAAACATGGCTTCACGCCTAAAACACGGAAAAAATTGAAGTGTAATTTCTTTAAGACTTGGGAAGTAGTAACGACTAACGTGACTACGTTACTTGAAATAGTAACATAAGTATGTTACCCGTTACTGTGTCGAAAACGTAACGAGTAGGTTGCTACGTTACTGAAAAAAGTAACGCGTTACCAACAACGCCGTTACTTGCAACGTGTTACAGTCAAGACTGCAGAACGGACAAAGCGTTACTGCTTGTCATGTCTTGTGGTCGTGAGTGTAGGAAAAATATCATACCTTGACTTGAAGATGCTGTGTGCATTTAATCAATTAATGAATACACACACTTCCGCAGACCTAGAGTCTGCTGATCCCGCCGGCAGTGCGGAAACCGACTCGAAGTAATCGTAGACCTCGGGAGACTTGTACGCCTGCACCGTGTCGGCCGTGAACTGGCTTGGCGAAAAAACTGAATAAACGACGACGTGAGCCGTCGACTTCGGTGGCAGCAACTTCACGTCGGAAGTCCAGTAGGCCTTGTTTACGGCGCACGGATCCTTGTAGGCAACGCCGTCCACGCAGTTTGTTTGGGTGCCGCTGCCGTTCAGGCTCGGGCCACGAGCTCAAATAGCCGGGCATAGCATACGACACAGCTTGTGAGGAAATACGACGCACAAATAAAGATTCAATCGTCCCTACAACGTCAACAACGAGCGCACGCCATAGAACGCAATGGCGAAAACACGGAGAGCCGGGCTGCTTTTGCCCACATAGCTACCGCGCATGCGCGGCCTTCTGGCCGTGTTGGTAAACAGAGCCGCTCCGCGTGTCGGTCTATAGGCTCTGCTTGCGCAAGCGGAGCATATACAGTTACTCTACTTGAGAGCAGAGCCGAGAGCTACGGGCCTTTTGCAACTCCAGTACGCCGCTCGCCCCTTTCGCGGACGAACGGGGAAGGGGGACGGCGGCAGGGACTGTTGGCTCTGGTTGTGCTGCTACCCCACGGTTCTGCGCGCCAGGTTCGTGCATCGTGCAGTTTTAACGGAAAGAAACAGCGAGTGCATTAAAATAGGAATGGTGTTCCGCTTCACAATATTTAAAAATCAACATTCTCAATCTACTAACGCACATCCATATCTTGAGGCGGGACCTCTGATTTCTTATCATAATGCAGAGGTCATTTTGGAGGGGGCCAGATTTGGGGGGGGGGGGGGGGGGGGGGAGGTCATATTGGAGGGGGCCGGATTTGGTGAGGGGGGGATGGCGCTTTCATCACACTAGGCCCCCTCTCATGCAGAACCTTTGTACACGCCTATGCAAATAAAGTAGTCTTAGTACACTGATTAGCGTCAGCGGGCTGGCGCACGTGAAACCCTGGATGATCTATCCCCGTCTTTCCGACATCTTGGAACAAGTTACGAATACACTGAGTGCGCACAACCACGTCCTCATGATTCGTTCCGTCGCTCTCCGCTCTTCCAGCCTGTTGCATCACTCTTCCTCCCGATGAAGACGAAAGTTCTAAAAGTCGCCGCGGCTATACATGCCTTGCACCTACGTCACATGATGACGTCGAGCACCGGTATCTACCATGCTGGTGGTTGACTCGACGGCCCTTCGCAGCGAGAGCAATGGTAAACTGCGCCGCGCTCGGCTGTAGCAATTACCCCGTATCCCGCCGATCGTCCGATCGCTTCGTCGGCATGCCCCGCGAGGCAGAGTAGACGTCAAGTTAGAGAAACTACGAGCGGCAGGAAAAAGATGCGGCCGCGGATTATCGAGTTTGCGGGACGCATTTCATAGCGGCGAACGGCGGCACTTTTCTACCGTTGTTTACGTTCGCGCACGCCTTTGCATCGGCTTTTGCTCGTTCGTGGTGTATATAGCCTTTGACCTTCGTTGCATAACGCCGTTTTCACGCTTCGAGCGCACCTTCAGGGCTCCCGGCCGAATCCGGGCGAGTGCCGCGCCGCGAGCCCGGCCCGACGGCGATCGGCGGCACCCCAGGTGCAAGCTCGCCGAGCCACCGGGTCATCGGTTCGTGCCGTCCGCGATACGATAACCTTTGCAAGGAGCGAAAGCATGCAGGCGAGCCGGTTAGGAAACATAATAATATAAACCCTGAGACAATGAGAGTTTCTTCTCCGTTATTTGATTTATCCCTGTCTCAGGGTTAAGATTATGACGGTAACATTGCGTTGTTTACCAGTATTTCGCAAAATCGTAACAATTTTTCTACAAGCGACTCCTAGAGCCGCTCGTCAAATTATGAAGCGCGCAATTAAGCTTTTTTTCTTTTACTGGCGACACGGCATATCCCTTTGCGTCAAAGCTTCGCCGGCGGCATTTCGAAACTTTCTGCTCGCAGCGCAATCGCACCAATGCCGAAAAATTCCGCACGTACTGGATTAACGTCATCATCGTAAGCTCAGCACGTTTTTCTAAGTTCACGGTACCTTTGTTGAAAATATGGTGCATGTTAACGCATGTCCGGGCCGTTAGCAGCATCCTACGCCTTGGTAAGCGCATCCGCGCGGTTTGAAGTCAACCACCAGTATGGTGCGGGGCCCCGTCCTTCCCTAGATGTTCCCTAGGGTGACGTCACTTGCAAGGCATGTATTGGGGTACTGCTAGGGAGCACAGACGGTGATCAGATGGAGTGGGGGCTTGGCGAACGGGCTTAATGCGGCGATCAGTCAGTTTTCCTGCTCGTATGCTCGCTTTATTGTGTTTTTATAAGACTGCTCGTGCATCGGAGCGTACATTTGAACGCAGCCAGACATCGCTGCATAAAAATTACTACAACCGCCCTTTAGCTAGCTGAGCATACGCAGATGGTAGGGTTGCAACCGTCGCCCAGACAGGAGGGGGTGTTCGGGTGGTTCAAAAAGAGAAATTAAACGGGAAATAATTTGTTTCTTCTTTGGCGTCCAGAATACCCTGTTAATGATTTTCACTCATCTTAACCACAAACAAACCTGCTTTAGCTGTAGTACACGTAGCCGTGAAATAACGCCCTGTTTACAAGTCAGTCGACTTTTTTTTTGTTTTTGTTTTTTTTATCA